TGATTAAATCATTCCTACCCTCACTCATCCTACAAAAGTAGAAAAAAAACTAACATTCATAAACAACACAAAAGTAGTAAAGCTGTGTATATAAAAGGAAATTTTTCGCACATGGTGGTGAGGCACCTGAAATGGAAGTTTTGCAATTTATAGTACTTAATTTGTTGTACAGAATAGCAAATTACTGCACATAATTTGCTATACCCCTAGCAAACCTAATTTGCTATACCCCTAGCAAATTACAGGGGAGATAACACTTGTCTCTGGTTTGTCAGATATGTACCTAATTCGCTATGAGTCACAGTAAAAATAGTTACATAATTCGCTACGTGTTGCAGCGAATTATGTGGGGTTTTAACACATGTCCTGACATTGACTGGATATGTACTGATCCATCTGACACGTAATTCGCTTCCCTGTGCAGCGAATTATGTGTCCAACAGAATTGTGTCACATCAGCATGCATAATTCGCTACACAGTGTAGCGAATTACTGCTGGCTTGACACGTGTCCTATTGCTGATTGTGTAGTCTGACATCTTGTCCACATAATTCGCTATATTATGTAGCGAATTATGTGCCCAACTAAGACATACCACATCAGCCAATATAATTCGCTACACAGTGTAACAAATTATGCCGCGTGGCATTCTAGGACTTTTTACTATTGGCGTGGCAGTCTGATAAATATTTTCATGAACAGTGGCAAAATGGTCACTGTTCAAAAGGAAATCCTAATATTTATTTGGGTTAAGAGATTAAATTAATTCAACATTTGTAAGACACTATTGATATTTAACATAAAGGTAAACAATGGAAGAGCAATTTTTAAGTATATGAAAAAAAAAAAGTGATTCTGTGAACTGAAGCATGCATTAGCTACCATTTTGTATTTCTGTTTAGGTTTCTCACTTTGCAGCAACAGTAAATGAAATTCTTTGCAGTAAATATATTTAGAATAGAATTCGCATGCGAATCTTGGTATTTTTTTTTTTAAAAAAAAATTCTTGGCCTTTTATGTGTTGTTGCAATCATGTGCAACAACATAAAAAATATTAAAGTCTTTTTTTATTTGCTACTTCTACGGAGTTTTCTTCCACTATATATCGTGTAAGGGGTTAGTATTTGTCATTTTAAAATATATATAATTATATTATTTTAAGTTAGAGAAAAAAGTACACAATGGAAATCATGAGTAAAGAAAATGAGATATTTTTTTTTAATTTAAATTTTAAATAAAAATATTAATTTTAACTAAAGTCACCGATAAACATTTTTTCCATTTGTGTAAAGACTGGAAAAAATGACAACTGACTAATTCCAGTTATTTGAATTCTCATCAAAATTGATGGGTGCTTTTGTTCAAGTACTGGATGAATGGATGATGACGTAAATTTATAAATAAAAATTAACCCTTTATATTCTAGTTAAAAATTTTGCGTTGAAAAATAAAAACATTTTCGTGGGAGACAAGCCTTTCTTGCGTACAAACGAAGTTTGAATTTGCTTATCAATTTTGCCGTATTGCACATGTTGTCATGTTTTTGAAATATAAAATGAGATTTTTTATTGAAATAAACAGAAAAAGTTTATGTTTTTTTGCTTAATTTTTTTAATTGTAAAATATTTATTTAATTTTTATGATCAAGTTTTTTTAATATATCTTTTTAGTAAATAATAAAGATGATTTATTTAATTTTTCTCGAGACAATTTTTCTTGAATAAAATCTTAATAATTTGATTTCAAAAAACTTCTTTATGTTGAAGCAACACTTGTTAGAATTGTTGATATTATTATAAAAGTGTTCTTAACCCTTGGCCCCTTCCAGCCATACAAAATATGAGTTTTGAATTTCAAAGAAAACTATGAGTTTTGATAGAGCTTGAGGTTGAGGGTATGGGAGCTTGAAGTATGTTTTCCCCTCCATTATTGGGTACATTGTGGTAAGGAATCATCTCTCTTTTCTAGTTTTCAAGAAGAAATGCAAAATCTAGGTTTTTGGATGAATAGTGATCCAAAAATAGAAATTTTGGAGGAGATGTTGATGTGTTGTCTTGTTGTTTCTTTGATATTTGTGGTATAGGATTGAGCAAGGAGACCCAATAGTTGAGGAGGATCCATTGAGGTGCCATTGGATTAAGAAACCTAATTTTTCTCTAAATTTACAAAGAGGGTAAATGATTAATGTTGAGATAATGAATGATTTAATGTGTTTGAGTAGTTGTCTAGCCATGGACTTAATTATTGTGTATGTATTAAATGATGACACATCTATTGCCTTGACTATAGGTTGACTTGGTGTGATTTAAAGGTTGTGTTATTGAGAAAGCAAAGAAAGTAAAAAGTGGGACATTACTTAAGATATGGAAACCTTAAGAAAATAATATGGGTCTTTGTTCAATGAGTTAAAGCACGGATTAAATGAATAGACAAAAGAGAATATCGATTTAAATGTGGTAGATTAGTTCATACACTGATTATCTTCACATCTTTGATATAGGCTGCGAGATTAGATAAGATTGTGATCTCTTAGAAACGAGGACTATACTGGAGGACGTTGCTTCACAGGTAAGCTTTCGATTCTTGGGGTTAATTCTCCATTTATTCCACCAAACTCCAAGGAAGGGTGGTTCTTTCATATGGTATGTGGTTATGAATTGTTATATGGTGCATGTATATGTATGTATGTTTGTGTGCCACATAAGAGAAGTTGCCTTGTGTGTGAAGTATAGAAAAGTTACCTTATGTATAGTACATGATGAGTTATCTTGTACGAATATGATGCAAGATGAGTTACCTTGTGTAATGCATACATGTTTTATTCTCTCGTCAGTAGGATATATTATCTGCATACTGCATTGATATACATATTCTGATGCATGCATAAATTTTATACTGTGGTTATACCAGAAGTGAGCTTAGGGGTGGAGGAGCCTTCCAAGGGTCTTTAGCTTACTAAGGTAATTATCTTATTTCTTCCCTCGTTTTGGGGATTACCATTTCAGGTACAGGAGCTGATGATGTTAAGGCATCGTGAGGCAAGATGCTAGAGGAGAGATATTATATGACTTGATAGTCAAGATTATATTGCTATTTCATTTTGTATATGACATGATATTATTCTTTTGAGATGTACATGCCATGTATTTTTTTGATGAGAATAGGATCTATCTATGCCATGTTGATAGTTTATCTATTTTGTTAGTTATGTCTGCATATGTCTAGGTTACTTATTTAATTACATCTCTTTTGGTTGGTTGATGTAATCATGTAAGTAGCTCAATGGACATTATTTTAAGACCTGTTATGTAAGAGATAGTCTATGCCATGGAAGGTTGGGTAATATGATTTATACCTGGATTATATTAAACTGTCAATCAGGTTGAAATTATCATGTGGGAATTATCCCCAGTGGTCTGACATACGGACAAAATGCTGCTCGTTGTATTTTGACCAAAGAAGTGATGAAAATTGTAATACATAAGAAAAAGAAAAAAGTTAACCAGTTAGCTTCCATATTTATTAAGTTTAAAATTTATTGCGCTAAATATCATATGAATGCTAATTAATCGGCTGCAGACGAGGTGTTAGATATAGATAAATAAATTGCTGTTGTAGTTCATTTAATTTATATTACCACCAGAATATTGGAAATGGAATAAATGATTGAGAATGTAGCATTGTGGGAATTAGCAAATGATAGAAAAAATATATTTGGCATTTAATTAAGAAAGTGAAAGAATATATGTAGTGTTATTAATTATATTTGGATAATTTTAATGAGAAATGAGGTGATTTATTAAGAATTAATAAGAATGATAAAAATGAAGGAAAATAAAAGCTTGTTAGATGCTTGTGTGTGTTTTAAAGTTACCAACCGGGTTAGGATTCTAAATAGGTTAAATCTATGCAAAATATTTTGAGTTTGACCTAACCTATTAGTCGGGTGGGTGTAGGCTACACTATAGACTTAGCTTAGCCTATATTTTAAAATAAAAAGGTTTGTCCTATGCCTATTAGTTTGTTTGATCCTATCAAAAGTTTAATAACTAGAAAAATCAAATATATATCTATATATATATATATATATATATATATATATATATTTATTTATTTATTTATTTATTAAAATAAAATAAATATTCATTTTATTTTAATTAAAATAAATAATGCAATATATAGATTGGGCTGTAAACTTGTAGGTCAAGCTTTGTAAAAATAGGTCTATGACGTGTCTTAAAAATAAACATTTCTTAAAGCTCAAGTCTGTTCTATTTCACTAAATATATAAAGTCACATGCTATTTCATTAAATATAGTAGGCTCGTTTGACCTATTTACATTCCTAAATGATCAAAGTTATACAGTTTATTTTTGAGTAAAGTACTTTTTGGATCCTCAACAAATATCACGTGACCCAATTTAATCCCTTGGGAAAAAAAATCGACCAATGATCCCTCTGAAATCAAAATAGATCTATATTAGTCCCTTTGAGGGACTAATGTGGGTCTTCTTAGAAATTTAGAGGGACAAGATTTCGACTAACTGGACCTATTTTGAATTTCACAGAGACCAGAATCGATCTTTTCTAAAGGATTAAAATGAGTCTCGTATATTTTGTTGAGGACTCAAAAGCTACTATACTCTTTTTTATAAAAAAAAAATATGAATCCTTAGAACGTGATGTGTGTGTCACGTGATGATGACATGTGTTATGTTTGTGGAGTCCATCAAAATTTATTAAATGATATCATTTTGATAAATAATTTTGAATTATATTATTTTGATAATTTTTGTTTTTAACTTCATTACTTTGACCGTTCACCCGTATTTAATACGTAAAGTTATGAGGCCTTGCGAATTTGGGACATAAGCTTTGATGGCTTAGAGTCTTACTCAGTTCATCAACAGTCAAAGCTTGTAGTCTATAAAAGCATTTAATAACGAAATAACTCTTCACCATTTCTCAAGCCATTAAACACACATTTCTCATAATTCACAATGAGGGTACACATAGTCTTGCTTCTTTTCTTGATACCTTTCTGCTTAATAAATTCCATCACCAATAACATCTTTGTTGCAAATGGCTCCTGTCTTAGCCATCAACGTTCCATGTTGCTCCATTTAAAAAACAACCTCATATTCAACATTACAAAATCCCAAAAGCTGATTCTTTGGAATCAAAGTGATGATTGTTGCTTATGGCCTGGTGTTACATGCAATGAGGGACATGTTATAGCTCTTGACCTTAGTCATGAGTCTATCTCAGGAGGACTTGTTCATTCAAGCACTCTTTTCAGCCTTCAATATCTACAGAGCTTGAATTTGGCTTTTAATGAGTTGAGTTCTGTGATTCCTCCAGAGCTTCACAAGCTGAAGAATTTGAGGTATCTGAACTTGTCTATGGCTGGCTTTGAGGGGCAGATTCCAAATGAGATTTCTCGCCTTAAAAGGTTGGTTACTCTTGACTTGTCTTCTTCATTACTTACCTCACATCACAGACTTAAACTTGAGAAGCCAAATATAGAAGTGCTTGTACAAAACCTTACAGATATCAGAGAACTGTATCTAGATGGAGTAGCATTATCTGCCAAGGGAGAAGAGTGGTGCCATGCTTTATCTTCATTGAAGGAGTTACGTGTTCTGAGCATGTCATCATGCAATATGTCTGGACCTATTGATTCTTCACTAGCTAAGCTTCGGTCACTCTCAGTTCTAAAATTGAACGACAACAATATGTCAAGCACAGTGCCTGATTCCTTTGCAAATTTCTCCAATTTGGCCATACTACAGCTCAGAAGTTGTGGCTTAATTGGTTCTTTTCCAAAGGGTATCTTCAAAATACCAACATTAGAAGTCCTTGACATATCAGCCAATCAAGATCTTTGTGGTACTTTGCCAAACTTCTCACCACATGGTTCTCTTTACAATTTGAACCTCAGCAATACAAATTTCTCAGGACACTTACCAGATTCTATTTCCAATCTGAAGCAGTTGTCTACAATTGATCTGTCTTACTGCCAATTCAATGGAACACTTCCCAGTTCAATGTCAGAACTCACCCAACTTGTTCATCTAGACTTGTCTTCTAATAACTTCACAGGTTCACTTCCTTCTTTCAATATGTCCAAGAACCTCTCATATCTATCCCTCTTCCATAATCATTTAAGTGGGGTGTTACCGTCCAGTCATTTCGAGAGCCTCATAAATCTTGTCAGCATTGATTTGGGGTTCAATTTTTTCAGTGGGAGTATTCCTTCTTCTTTACTCAAACTCCCATATTTGCGAGAACTTCAGCTTCCCTATAATCAATTCAATGGTCTCTTGAGTGAGTTTGACAATGCATCTTCCTCAGTATTAGAGATGCTTGATTTAGGCAACAATAATTTACAAGGGCCCATTCCTGTGTCTGTCTTTAACCTTAGAAGACTCCGTGTTATTCAACTTTGTTCAAACAGGTTCAATGGCACAATACAATTGGACATGATTCGAAGGCTAAGTGATTTAGCTATACTTGACTTCCAACATAACAATTTGTCAGTTGATATAAACTTTAGGGATGATCATGACCTTTCACCCTATCCTAATTTAATAAGAGTGATGTTGTCTTTCTGCAAGCTGAGAGGAATCCCTAGTTTCTTGAGCAACCAGTCCACATTACTATATCTTGACCTATCTAACAACCAGATTGAAGGACCAATACCTGAATGGATTTGGCAAGTTGAATTTCTTGTTCACTTGAATCTTTCGAAAAACTTTTTCACAAAATTGGAGGGAAGTTTCTGGAACTTTAGTTCAAACATTTTCACCCTTGATCTTAGTTCTAACCAACTGCAAGGGCCTTTTCCCTTCATTCCAAGGTATGCAAATTATTTGGACTACTCAAGCAACAGATTCAGCTCTGTCATTCCACGAGACATTGGCAATCACCTCCCTTCTGCACTTTTGCTGTATCTTTCAAACAACAGTTTTCAAGGACAAATCCCAGAATCTTTCTGCAATGCTTCAGGTCTTCACCTACTAGATCTTTCCTACAATAACTTTGTTGGGAAGATTCCCAAGTGTTTTGCAACATTGAGTAGCACTCTTAGGGTGTTAAATTTGGGTGGAAACAAACTCCAAGGTTATATTCCTGATACTTTTCCAACTTCATGTGCTCTAAAGTTGTTGGATCTAAATGGAAATCTATTGGGTGGTACCATCCCAGAATCTTTGGGCAATTGCCATAAATTACAAGTCCTAAACCTTGGAAAGAATATATTAATTGACAGATTTCCGTGCTTCTTTAGTAACATTTCCACCATGAGAATCATGGATTTAAGGTCAAACAAACTCCATGGTTCTATTGGATGTCCAAATAGCAGTGGTGATTGGGAGATGCTACATATTGTTGATCTAGCCTCCAATAATTTCAGTGGCTCAATACCAGGAGCATTGTTAAACAGTTGGAAAGCTATGATGCGTGATGATGATGAAGTTGGACCAGAATTTGGCCACTTATTTCTTGATGTTGTTGATAACTTCAATCCTCTGAGTTTTAAGGATGTATTGTCACTGTTGAACAAAGATCTTGGTCGTTATCAGGATTCAATTACTATTGTCAACAAAGGTCAGCAAATGAAACTGGTCAAAATTCAAAAGGCCTTCACTTACATTGATATGTCAAACAACTATTTTGAGGGGCCAATACCAAATGAGTTCATGCATTTGAAGGCACTAAATACTCTTAACTTGTCACATAATGCCTTCTTGGGCCATATCCCATCATCTTTAGGAAATTTGAAGAATCTTGAGTCTTTAGACTTGTCAACCAATTCTTTGAATGGAGAAATTCCTATAGAGCTTGCAAGTCTATCATTCCTTTCATATCTGAATCTCTCATTTAACCATCTCGTGGGGGAAATTCCTGAGGGTACTCAAATTCAATCATTTGATGCAGATTCCTTTAAAGGGAATGAAAAGTTATGTGGACCTCCACTTACCAACAATTGCAGCAATGATGGAGTGAAGGGGTTGTTGCCACCAGCATCTGAAACACCTCATTCCCATTCTAAGAGTTCAATCAATTGGAATTTCTTAAGTGCAGAGTTGGGATTTACTTTTGGCTTGGGAATTTTCATCTTCCCCCTTATTTTCTTGAAGAGATGGAGGCTGTGGTATTCCAAACAGGTAGATGAGTTGCTTTATAGGATCATCCCTCATCTTGATTTTGTGTATGAATACCATGGAGGGAAGAGGTATAGAAATCTAAGGTGGAAGCCTTACTGATTTTGCTCCTGCAATTAGCACACTCTTCTACTTAACGGGTTTTGTATGTCTTAATCTTTCTTTGTTTATGAGCAGTGTCAAAATAAGGACTTCATCCCATTAGTTTGGTTGAGTCAGGTGATAAAGCATAGCATAGCCTAGTGATAAATCAAAGCATTAAATAGTTTTAAGAATTTTTATCGTTGTTTCATTGTTCTATCATTTTAAGTTTCGTGACCACAACTGTAGTATAGCTAAATACTTTTAAAACATGTTCCTTCTTTAAATCATCTTCAAGATCTTTGATGCTAGAGGATCTATCAGAAGCTGCTAAATCTAGCATTTCAGTCTGCATTTTTTTTCTTTTCTTCTCTGTTTAGATGGAAACGTGAATGATAAAGAATAAGAATCAAGGGATAATTTTCAATTGAGTATCTAGTGCAATATTTTTAACGTATTTAGCTAACCTTCAACCAAATATTTTATTTTCTTCAATGCTAAGCATAGAATGACGAGTAGAGCAGTTGCTATTGTGCTTATCCATATCAAATTCTTTGTAGCTGCATAAAGTATTCACATAAGGAATTTGAATTAGTTCCATTAACAATCACTTTTCTAGTTTAATTTTTCAGCATAGTGCAAAACGCTGTAACAAATCATGCTTTCTATATGGATATATATAAGTGTATAGAAAATAAGGAGATATCAATAGTTATCCTATGTGACAAATAAGAATATATATATATATATATATATAGGCTTTTTCACCCTTTTGCCCTTCATTAATTAATTAATAGCTATTTTGCCCCTGATTCGAAACTATCTACCAATCTGTCCATCTTTAATCGACTACCTTGCATTTTTAATCGATTAAATGGTCAAAACAGGTAAAAATGGTTGTTGGGAGATTTAATCGACTAAATCTCCCTATTTAATCGATTAAATCTCCCAACAAGCAACAAAGGAAAACAAGTCAGTATGATTTTTTAATCGATTAAGTAGGGAGATTTAGTCGATTAAATCTCCCAACAACCATTTAATCGATTAAAAATGCAAGTTAATCGATTAAAGAAGGGCAGATTGGTGGATAGTTTTGAATCAGGGACAAAATGGTTATTAATTAATTAATAAGAGGCAAAATGGTCAAATAGCATATATATATATATATATATATATATATATATATATATATATATATATATATTAATTTCAGGGAGGCCATGGCTACCCCTAACCCACCCCCTGCAAATACACATCAGCAAGAGGACTTTCTTTTCAGCAAAATTCTTGAAGCTTTGGTAGAATGGTTTGACCTCACAGTTTGCATAATCCCAGTTTGATGAAGCAATTCAATAAAGAGAATTTCTGTTGACATTAAAACTATCATTTACAATCATCAATGCAATATGTGCTACTCTAACAATACACATCTTATTGATATTCACAAATAAGAACCCTAATTTACAATCCATATTACCATTGATATTTATCACTGCAATGCACCGCAACAAAAAGATAATAAAGACTTAAAATTATGGCAGTTCATCAATTTAGAAATCGAAAAAGAAAAAGAAAAAAGGCAGAAAAAAAGTATACAGAGTACAGTTCAGAAAAGATATACACCTCCTCACAGATAGGTCGTATAACTATCGAATCATATGAACATTTGATATGATTTGAACCCCGTATTCTAATGCACTTACTATAAACAGACCTCTATTTAAGCCTTGTTTCTATAATTGAGAAAGCTAAAAGGTTTGCATGTGATTGTTTCAACTCAAGTAATTAATCAATGAAATGAAATAAATTATGGGTTCGCTCTTTTTATACGCTTAACACGGAGATAATTTATTTACATTGAGCCTAAAACAATGTTGTTTTGAGACGAAAATCAAGGTATTTTTGTAATTATAATTTATTTCAATGTTAGAATAGTATTTTTAATTATAATTTTTAATTTTTTAACCCAAAATCACATTATTTTGAGAAGATGTTGTTTTGAGAGCGAACGTAAATAACTTATATACATCCAACGTAGAAACATTAAAGCCATGAATTATATTAAATTTTTTTTTTTAATAAATCACATGTATCCTTCAATCGTTAGAGCCGGGAACTTCCACATTATAGTAGAGTTAACTCTCCCAAAGATTATTTTTTTTCCATTCACAATGACTTGAATGCAAGACCATACTTAAGCGGAATTATACATATATCATTTGAACCAATTCGATTTGTAGAATTTATTATTCGATCTATTTTTCTCCAACACCGTTACATTAAAAAAAAAAAAAATTAACTAGCGTAAGCATAAAAAAAAAGTAAAGATTATCTCCTATACAAGAAATTCGGTATATTTTGAAAATTTTACTTTCATTTCTCTTATATATATCACTGTTTTTTCAAAGAGTTTAATGAATTTCCGGTCAATGTAGATAATTTATTTCTAATGAACCCAAAACGACACGTTGTTTTGAGGTTAAAAAATGTATTTTTAAAATTCTAATTTATTTTACGGTTACATTTGTCTTTATCATTATAAATTTTAAATATTAAATTCTAAAATAATGTTATTTTAGACTCGCTGAAGATAATTTTATCTCCTGAAAAAACATTAAACCTTTTTTAAAATATGTTAAATTTTTATATATAATATATTTTTTATGTTGTATAAGACAATTTGATCTCATATATATATATATATATATATATATATATATATATATATATATATATATATATATATATATAATAGATGAGACCCACTAAAAAGGAGAGAAAAAACAAAGAAAAAATTATAATATGTAATATGTAAAATATATTTCCCTATTTTTTTCCTAAATCCCAACTCCAATTATTATATATTTTATCGGAAACCAATGATAAGGTAAAAACAAAATAGTAATATAATATGTTCGATTGTGGTCTGGTATTTAGTTATTAAAACTATTTTTTAGAATAATTAATGAAATTAGTGTTTTTTATATATTTTTTATTTTAAAAGTTGAAAATCCAAAGACAAAACGAAAACAGCTCGGATATTTTTTCTAAATTTGATATTTTTAAAAAAATATAGATATAATTTTAATTTTTTTTAATAAAATAAACCGTATCAAATAGGTTTTTATATACTTTTATATGAAAATCAAAAAATTGTTTTAAAAAAAAATTTGGAACATGTCTTTTTATTTATTTATGGGTTTGATTTTTTTGCAGTCAATATAGATAAATTATTCACATTTGATCCAAAAAGATGTCATTTTGAGACGAAAATTATAATTATAAAGATATTTTTATAATTATAATTCATTTCAAGATTATAATAATTTTTTTAATTATAATTTTGAATTTTTTAACATAGAATAACATCATTTTGAGAAGATTTATCTACATCTATAATAGAAACGTTAAAGCCCTTACTTATTTATTTATTTTCTGAACCAAAAAAACTACTGTTAAAAACGGTATTGAAACAGTCGCTACGACACGACTAGCCTGGGAAAACAAACACCCATGGCATCCCTCGTATAGAGGTCACTACATCCACCAAAGGAGAGCGAGGGCGATGTGGTTGGCACCCATTTTTGACCATTAAGATAGCTGTAAGGGAGTCTCCTTCAATTATAACCTTCCTGCCACCGTGAGACCATGCTATCTCCAATTACGCAAGAGAAAGCTGTATTGTATTATAAAACTTTTCAAACAATGCTCTCTCTGGTGAAAATCCCATCATACACAGGGAACCTGAAATACATGGATTCTTTGCTTGGAGAAATTCCACTACATCTATCATGTTTGTCATTCCTTTCGCATCTGAACCTCTCCTTCAGTCATCTGCTTGTCGAAGATCCCAACAGGTACCCAATTTTTGTGGATTTATTAAAAAAAATACAATTGAAGTTTGTATGTTATGTGTGCTATTTTTTTAATTATTGAAAAAAAAAGCTGTGATATGTGATGTTAAAGTTTATTTCATTTATTTTTGTGATTTCTAAAGGCCAAAAAGGAGTTCTAAACTAGGGTTATAAGAATTGGGAAATGACTCAAATACATATACGGGTTTTTTTTTTTTTTTTTCAATTCACATTTACATGTTATTTTTGTAACAATTTTAGGTAGGTGAAATTAGTCAAAGATGTGTCAACATGAGTTGGCTGGACCCATATTAACGCATACCTGGGGTTAGACTCCGTATATCTTTTGTTAGTAAATTATTTGTAAGTTTCCTATAAGTGTTGACTGAGAGTTCTACCTTGACCCTGAGCTAGGACAATTATTCCCTCACCCTAACTTTTTTTCAACCAAAATCAAATTAAACAAATGTTCATCATTTTTAGCTCATAAGACTACCAAAAATCATAGTTTACTATACTGTAAGTGTTTCAATGAGAGAAATCGGAAATATTTTTAATGGGTAAATTATCTATGTTCTCTTATATATCGTGTTTACTACATAATCATCCTTTTTATCAAGAAAACTTACACCAATATTTTTTTTTATTTAGAAAAAGATGGGAAGAAAGAATGAATGAGAAAAAAATTATGTTGAATCTTGAATGATGTTGGGTCATTGTTCTGAGTCCAATCTAAGAAGCTAACCCAGAAAAACAATGCTCAATAAGAGTGGCCGACAAGAAACGTGTAGAATGGAACAAAAATTAATTTGGGTCTACACTCTACAACTAACTGAAGCGCTGAACAGTATTTTTCTTTCTTTTCTGGTAAATAGCATTCTACAAAGTCAAGCTATGACTTTGGACATTGTTTGCAACTTTATGAGACCACCATTTGTTCCCTCACTTCTTCAGTCTTGTGCTCTTTGGTTGTCACTAAGTGTAGACACCAATGAGAATTATGTTAGTTTCATTCCTTTCCTTCATCCTCAGCTACTGGATATATCTCAGTATCCACATTTCTGTCGCCTCTGGCAAATGTCTTGAGGATCAGCAATCATTGCTTCTCCAACTAAAGAACAACCTCATATTCAACCCTAAAAGTTCCAGCAAACTAAAGTTATGGAATCAAAGCTTTGCTTGCTGTAGTTGGAGTGGTGTAACCTGTGATGATGAGGGACATGTTATTGGCCTTGACCTGAGTGGAGAATCAATCTCTGGTGGATTTGACAATTCAAGTATTCTTTTCAGTCTCCAACATCTCCAGAAATTGAACTTGGCTGATAACAATTTCAATTCTGCCATTCCATCCGGATTCAACAAGTTGGAGAAGTTAACTTATCTGAATTTGTCATATGCTAGCTTTGTGGGGCAGATTCCAATAGAGATTTCTCAGCTGACAAGGTTGGTTACTCTTGATATCTCTTCTCTTTCCTTTTTAACAGGGCAAGAGTTGAAACTTGAGAACCCAAATCTACAAAAGCTTATCCAAAATCTCACCAGTATTAGGCAACTGTATCTGGATGGTGTAAGTATAACAGCACAGGGACAGGAATGGTGCAATGCTTTGTTGTCGTTGCCTGACCTGCAAGAATTGAGCATGAGGCAATGCAATCTCTCAGGACCCCTTGATTCTTCCCTTGCAAGACTTGAGAACCTATCTGTCATTATTCTTGATGGGAACTATTTATCATCACCAGTGCCAGAAACATTTGCCAATTTGAAAAATCTGACCACCCTCAGTCTTGATTATTGCGGGTTGACTGGAACTTTTCCACAGGAGATCTTCCAGATTGAAACATTGTCAGTTATTGACATATCATACAACGAAATTCTCCTTGGTTTCTTTCCAGACTTCCCACTGAGTGGATCTCTCCAGACCCTAAGAGTAAGTAACACAAACTTCTCTGGAGAATTTCCACCCTCTATTGGTAACATGAGGCACTTATCTGAATTGGATCTTTCTTATTGTCAATTTAACGGAACACTTCCCAATTCACTGTCAAACCTCACAGAACTCTGTTACGTGGATTTGTCATCTAACAGCTTCACAGGTCCGATGACATCATTTGGTATGGCCAAAAATCTTACCCACTTAGACCTTTCTCATAATGGTTTAAGTGGTGCAATTCCATCATCTTCTCACTTTGAAGGACTGCACAGTCTTGTCAGCATTGACTTGCGGTTTAATTCTATGGATGGGAGCATTCCTTCATCCCTTTTTGCACTCCCATTACTGCAGAGAATTCAGCTTTCCTACAACCAGTTCAGTCAACTAGACAATTTCACAAATGTCTCTTCCTCTATATTAAACACCCTCGATTTAAGTAGCAATAATCTATCAGGGTCTTTTCCAGCGTCTATCTTCCAGCTCAGTACACTCTCAATCCTCGAACTTTCCTCAAACAAGTTCAATGGATCATTGGAGCTAAATAAGCTTTTGGAGCTCAGAAATTTAACTATACTAGACCTTTCATACAACAAATTATCAGTCAATGTTAATGTTATTCATGCTGATATGTCTTCCTTTCCTGACATAGGCAATCTAAAATTGGCATCCTGCAACTTGAAAACTTTTCCTGACTTCTTGAGAAACCAGTCCATGTTATACTCTTTAGACCTTTCAGATAACCAGATTCAAGGAAAAGTGCCCAACTGGATTTGGAATCTATATAATCTTGAAAGCCTTAATATTTCTCACAATTTGCTGACTGACTTGGAAGGACCTTTGCAGAATCTTACTTCCAACTTCGTAGTCCTTGACCTTCATCACAACCAACTGCAGGGGCCAATACCTTTTTTTCCAAAATCTCCTGTCACCTATTTGGATTACTCAAGTAACAAATTTAGTGCTGTTATCCCACAGGACATTGGTAATTACCTGTCTCTCACAATTTTTCTTTCTCTTTCAAACAATACTCTTCATGGCAGCATCCCTGATTCCCTATGCAATGCTTCAAGTCTTCAAGTGCTTGATCTTTCCAATAATAACATTTCCGGAAGAATCCCCTCATGTTTAATGAATGTGAGTGAGAAGCTTGGGGTATTAAATCTGAGTAAGAACAAACTCAAAGGTCCCATCCCAGATATGTTTCCAGTTTCCTGTGCTCTAAGGACTCTGGGTCTCCAAGAAAATGAATTAGATGGACGGATTCCTCAATCTCTTGTTAATTGCATAACATTAGAAGTGCTAAACCTCGCAAAAAACCGGATTATTGATGGCTTTCCATGCTTCTTGAAGAAAATATCCACACTCCGTGTCCTGGTCCTGCGGCAAAACAAATTTTGTGGTCCGATTGGATGTCAAAACACCACTGGTACTTGGCACATGATTCAGATAGTTGATCTAGCGTTTAACAACTTCAGTGGTGGACTACCTGGAAAATACTTCACAAGTTGGGAGGCAATGATGTATGATCAAAACCCAGCTGAATCCAAGGTAAATCACATCCAATTTCAGGTTTTTCAATTTGCTCCATCATATTATCAGGATTCAGTGACAGTCACAAGCAAAGGTCAACGGATGGAGCTGGTTAAAATTCTGACAGCCTTCACAATCATTGATTTTTCATCCAACCATTTTGAAGGAACAATACCGGAGGAGCTAATGGATTTTAAAGCACTCCATGGTCTCGACTTCTCAAACAATGCTCTCTCTGGTGCAATCCCATCATCTATAGGGAAACTGAAAAACCTGGAGTCCTTGGACCTGTCCCAGAACTCTTTGGGTGGAGAAATTCCTGTGCAGCTTTCAAGTTTGTCATTCCTTTCGTATCTGAACCTCTCCTTCAATCATCTGGTAGGGAAGATCCCAACAGGAACCCAACTACAGTCATTTCAAGCTTCTTCCTTTGAAGGCAATGATGGGCTATATGGTCCTCCATTGACTGAAAAACCAGATGATAAAGATCACATTGCTGAAAAACCATGTAGAAGGCTAGCTTGTTCAATTGACTGGAATTTTATAAGTGTGGAAATGGGATTGGTTTTTGGCCTCGGAATTGTCATTGGTCCCCTCTTGTTTTGTAAGCAATGGAGGGTGTCGTATTGGCAACTTGTGAACAAAATTCTTTGCTGGATCTTCCCTCAGCTGTATCTTGACTATGTAACTCGCAGAGGACAAAGGTACACAGTTTTAAGGTGGTGGCATTAGTGATTAGTGAGTGTGCTAATAAGTAGTGAAGTTATCTTCTTCCATTTACATTCCCTATTTCTCATTTCAGTTGTTCTTAGGGTTTATTTCTTCAAGTTTGTGTGTGTAATTTTCGGAAGTTTCTTTATAAAAATGGAAAAGTCTGTTTGTGTGTGTCTACAACTATTATCTCTGTTTTTCATTAAGTGCTAGTTTAATTGTTGAATTGCATAAATAATTAGGGGAGAGTTATATTTATAAACTTTTTGTTTATAAACTCTTACAAATTATACTATGTTCTCTCGGGAGAACACTAGATTACACTACCCGAGAGCACATAGTGTAATAAGCAAAAATTTGTAAAAAAAATTTGTAAACGGATCCTTCCCCAAATAATTATACTAGTTTTTATCAGCTACCATTTTTGGAAAGTGAAATTTTTTAAAGTGATGGGACAAAATAATTAGTGTGTAGGAATGTTAATTATATAAGCTTGCGCAATAGTTTTTGGCTAATGTAATAAGAGCAAATGTAAAGGTTTTTTTTTTTAAAAAAAAATCTTTTTTAAAAAATATTTACATATATAATGTGTACCAAAAAAATATTTACTACATATATTTAACTAACAAATATGGACGTGAGGATCTATAATGCACGGACACTGACACGGAACACGACACGACACGACACGCCGACACGTTAATTCTAAAAATGGCAAATTTCGACACGTTGGGACACGTTTTGATATTAAATAATATTTTTAATATATATAATATAATTTATATTTAATATATATAACAGTCCATAATAAGTCATATAACCAATCAAATATTCAAATTTCATAACATAAATATAAATAAAAATAATTTTGCGTATCTTGTTAATTTTTTATATCAAATTTCATAACAGAAAAAATTTGATTTATAAATAAATTTTTTTATTTTTAATTAATAAAATAAAATTAAGACTAAAAAAAAAAACGTGTTCGAGCGTTGACTACGTGTCGAAAAAAGTTGATCACGTGTCGGAAAAACGTGTCGGAGAGTTGACCGCGTGTCCTCAAATGTTGACCGTGTGCCGGAGCGTGTATGTGTCCAACATGCAAATTTTGAAAATTTGCGCGTATTGAAGAAGGGAAGAAATTGAGATATTCAGTACCTACAATGATTTAGAAAAAAAAGAGTGAACTATTATTTTAATCCCTAGAAAATGATTTTAGCATAAATTTCGTCTTTAAATTATAGAAGTTGACATCACATTAAACCCATTCAAAAGGGGGACAATTATATCAAGGGTTCCATGTGTCTATCTTAAGTGGACCTTTCGGTGCTTTAGTATTCAAAACAGGTCTTCATCTCCCCTAATTTCCAAGATCTTAACCCTCTAATTTTTCTTGCTCCTAAGGTCACACTGAGGGAAGCTTGCCAGAGAGTGAGTTGTTGGGAGTGTAATCAGCACAAATGACCAGCACTGTCAGAAAGAGGAAGCAATAGAGCCATTAAATTACTTAGAATGGAGATTAAGGAAGATTTATTCAATCCTATAGTTTGGGATAATAGAATATGCAAACCTCTCACACACACACACACCCCGCGGCCCCTTCTCCCAATTTTGAACATTTGGGCACTGTTGTGCAATTTGTAATCAATTAATTCTTCCACACAAATACGCAAGTGCACGTGTCACAAGTAATAAAGGGATGTGTGAGTCCAGGTATCGTTCCCACGGAGATGATTTATAAAGCAATAATTATTTAAGTAAAGAAATTATAAAAAGATTGATTTTTATGGTGGGGTTTATAAAATAAAAGACAATTAAAAATAAGAAAACAGTAAACTAAATTCAAAGGTATTAAGATGATGGATGAGATATAGGTCAGATTCAATTTCCCTGATACAGCAATACTGAAATAATGCTTTAACGATGCTATATCAATGCTTAATTAGTAACCGAACACTAAAGTATGCTGGGGCTTTTGGCCAACCTAACATATATACCCAATAACTAATTCCCACATCTCTATGGCCAAACTAATCACTGAATTCTTAAAGTTCAAGTTCAAAGGCTATGTGGTGTGAATGATCTCTCTACCCACAACTTAATCAAGTTATTCTTAACCTAATTAATCCACACAATTCAACAAGGGTCTGGATTCGAAAACCTCTCGGCCCCAACCTCCTCAATATCACATATGTATCTCTCGACATGCACACATGAATAAGATTAAGCAAACTCGTTGAATAACTAATTAAACATTAATAAAAATAAAGTTTAGGCATACATCTCAATGTTACAGCATAGGTACTTTATCACATAACCTATAGAGCAATTTAGCTCATAATGGAATTAAATAAAAAAGAGAAAAGAAAGAAAGAACTCATTGGGAAAAAGAAAAGAAGATGAAAACGAATGCTGTAGGAAAACGTCGTCACTGCTTTGCTCCAACACTGCTCCAGCAGCTCTTCCTCCTCCAAGAACCTTACTTTCTCTCTCTAAAACGTGGGAGGGGTACTACACTCTTCCCCTCCCTTCTTTCTTGCCTTTCTGACCTCTCTCTCGCTTGTTGAATCCGTGGGGGAACTCCTCTTTAAATAGGAAAAGTGGTTGGATAATTGGGCTTTAGGGTTATGAGTGAAAATTCATGAATCTTGTTGCTGCAGCCTTATCGTATCCCTAGATTCTTGGGCTGTTGACACTTGCTTGGATAAGATCTTGATCTTCTTGGATTTCTTGTGTCAATGTTGTTGACCGAATAAAGGTTTGTTGTCCTTGTTCTTTGGGATTTTAGGATAAGACTAAATCTTTGAATATCGTCCTTGATCCTTGTGATTTTGGGATAAGATTAAATCTTCAGAAACTTCCCTTGCTTGCTGGTGCATTGTTGGGGAATAACTAACTTTTGAAATTCAAAAGTTCGGTTGTCCCTTTGTCCACGCTGTCATGCTGTAGCGCTTGCTATATCATTACTTCGTCAGCTTCTCTGCTACAGCATTCTTATGTCAATTTTCCCTGCGAAGACAAACATTCAACAAGTCATCTTTTCTTACACAAAATCAAGGGATATTGTCTTATTTTCCATACTTAGTCATCTCAAAGCACTTAATCATAAATATACAATAATTAGCTCAACTACAATGCAAAGCGGTTAACTTATATGGAATTTATGCAACAAATTCATCATAAAAATAACAAATTAACTCTCATTTGGGAGAGTTATCACACTCCAAACTCAAAACGTTGCTCGTCCTCGAGTAACAAAGAAAGAAAATGATTAATTGGCTTGCATAAATTTAACAGCATAATTGCAGCAATGACTATTATTGAGATGAGCAGTTCTAATGTAGCATTCCAACAACAATGTACACGTGAGAGTTGCCTTTCTACCTTGGCTTACACTTCAACTTTGGGACCCTTGTTAGCTTTACTTCTCTTGGCTTTTTGGCTTCTGGAGTATTAAGTATGTGTGTGTGAAGAACTTTCTTGTTGGCTTGATCCACTTGAGAGCATCAAGCTAAGAATCATAAAACTTAGTTGTTGTATCCATACTTTGCCAAATTTGAATCAAATCTTATGTGTAGAGAGTTCATCATAAAGGTTGATTTTGAAAAGGCTTATGATAGGATAAATTGGAATTTTTTGGAGAATACAATGAAGGAAATGAAATTGCCTCAAAAGCTGGTTGATGTTATTATGCAAGCTATGTTATTATGCAAGCTATCTCCTCTGCTAATATGAATATTCTGTGGAATGGTAACTTGACTGATGATTTTCAGCCTTCTCGTGGCATAAGGCAAGGTGACCCATTATCACCTTACCTTTTTGTCATGGGCATGGAAAAATTCTCTCATATTGTTCAAATAGCTGTCAATGGTGATCTTTGGAAGCCTTTTCAAATAGGGAAAGAGGGTCCAAAATTGTCTCATTTGATGTTTGCAGATGATCTGATGCTTTTTGCTGAGGCTAGTGTGGATCAGATAAAGGTTGTGCTGAAGTGTTTGGATTTGTTTGGTGAAATCTCAGGGCAAAAGGTCAGCATTCAGAAGACAAGTATCTTTTTCTCTAAGAATACCCCGGGGGAGATGGCCAGTAACATCTCAAATATCTGTAACTTCAAGAAAGTTAGGAATGTGGGTCGCTATTTGGGATCTTGGATGCAGCATGGCCGAGTCACAAAAGATTCCTATAGGGCAACTATTGATAGAATTAATGATAAACTCACGGGGTGGAAATCTAACTGTTTATCTCTAGCAGGTAGAGTTACTCTTGCTCAATCTTCTCTAGCAACTATTCCTTACTTCCAAATGCAAGCTGGTGGTTTTCCTAATGCTGTTTGTTTGGAAATAGAGAAATTTATTAGAAGATTCATTTGGGGGGATAGTGATGGTAGAAGACACATGCATCAAATTAATTGGGATACGATTACAAAGCCAAAGATGGAAGGAGATCTTGGTCTAAAAAAGCTGAAATTCATGAATGAAGCTTTCACAGCCAAGCTAGCTTGGGATGTCTATTCCCAACCCAAGGCTCTTTGGGTCCAGGTCCTTAGAGCTAAATATGCATAAGCAAGGGTAGACATTAGCATATTCCAATCAAAATCAGGGGATTCCAGAACTTGGAAGCAAGTGTGTAATGTCTGGAAAAAGCTTGAGGATTTCTTAGTTTGGGAAATTGGTGATGGTAGCTCAGTCAAATTCTGGAAAGATAAATGGGTGAATAATTCTGGGCGATTTCTAGATCAGGCTACTCATCCAATCGGGTGGGATGATATTAGTAAAAAGGTTAACCAGTTTGTTGATACTCATGGTAATTGGAATTTGGAAGATCTAAGTAATTGGTTGCCTGCTGATGTTATTTTCAAAATCAGAAGTATCCTGCCCCCTAATTGCAATGACGGAGCTGATAAAGTTCATTGGTATCTTCCTCATTCTCCTAAAGTTTATGTGAAAGGGCTATATGTCGTCCTTGCTGATCCTTATCTCGCTCAAAGTGGGAATCCGGGTTTGTGGAAGCTTATCTGGAAG